GGTACAATATCTATACACTGAAAACTGTAAGACACTGACGAAACAAAGCGAAGAAAACACAAACAGAAAGATATTCCATGCTCATGGATTGTAAGAATTAATATTGGTAAAATGTCCATATAACCCAAAGCCATTTTCAGACTCAGTGCAATCCCTATCAAAATTCCAATGGCATTTTTGTCAGAAATAGAACAATCTTAAAATTTTTATGGAACCACAAAAGATCCTGAATAGCCAAAGCAACCTTGAGGGAAAAAAAACAAAAACAAAAACAAAAACAAAAACAAAAAAGACCCACAAAGCTGGAGGCATGGATTTCTGATTTCAAGCTATATTACAAAGCTGTGGTAATCAAAAACAGTATGGTGTTGGCATAAAAAGAGACACATAGATCAATGGAACAAAGAGCCCCAAAATAATCCCATACATGGATGATCAATTAATTTCCAACAAAGGAGCTAAGAATATACAGCAGGGAAAGAATAGTCTCTTTAATAAATGGTGTTGGGAAAACTGGACAGCCACATGTAAAAGAATCAAACTAGACCACTATCTTACACCATAGACATAATTCACTCAAAGTAAATTAAAGGCTTGAATATACCACCCGAAACCATTAAACTCCCAGAAGAAAACATAGGCAGTAAACTCCTTGACATTGGTCTTGGCAATGTGTTTTTGGAAGCAAAAGTCAACAAAAGCAAAAATAAACAAGTGGGACTACATCAGTCTAAAAAGCTTCTGCATAGCAAAGGAAACCATAAACAGAGTGAAAAGTAACCTACGGAACGGGGAAAAATACAAATCACATTATCTGATGAAGGGCTAATATCCAAAATATATAAATAACTCATACAACGCAGTAGCAAAAACACAAACAAAAAATAGGTAGAGGATCTGAACAGATATTTTTCCAAAGAAGATATCTAAATGCCCAACAGGTACATGAAAAGGCGATCAACATCACTAATCACCAGGGAAATGTATCAAAACCACAATGAGATATCACCTCATCATACCTGTTAGCATGGCTATTAGCAAAAATACAAGAGACAACAAGTATTGACAAGTATGTGGAGAAAAGGAAGCACCTTCTCACTGTTGATAGGAAAGTAAGTTGGTGCAGCCACTGTGGAAAACACTATGGAGATTCCTCAAAAGATTACAAACACAAGTACCATACGATCCAGCAATCCCACTTCTGGATATCTATCCAAAGGAAACGAAAACAGGATATCAAAGAGATGTGAGCACCCCCAAATTCACTGCTATTGTTATTCACAATAGCCAAGATACGGAAACAACCTACGTGTCTATCCAGCAATGAATGGATTAAGATGTGGTGTTTATGCATAACGGAATAACATTTAGCCATGGGAAAAAAAAAAAAAAGGGAAATCCTGCCATTCTTGACAACACGGATGGACCCTGAGGCATTATACTAAGTGAAATAAGCCAGCAGAGAAAGACAAATCTTGTGTAGGATCACTTATATGTGATATCTGGCGGCGGGGGGGGGGGGGGCGGCCCCCTCAAACTCCTAGAAACAGAGAGTAGAAAAGTGGTTGCCAGGGACTGAGGTTAGAGGAAACAGCCAGAGGTTGATAAAAGGGACACACTTTCAGCTAGAAGATAAATAAAGCTTAAGGATCTAATACATAACAGAGTGACTACAGTTAATAACACTGCATTATTTAATCAAAATTTGCTAAGAGGGAACCTAAATGTTCTCACATACACACAGGAGAAGAGAAATATGTGAGGTGATGGATGTGTTAATTAACTAGATGGTCAGGATTCTTTCACAGTGTATATGGTGTATCAAATCACCACAAAGTATGCTTTCAGTATCTTACGATTTTGTCAATCAGACCTCCAGAAAACTGAAAAAAAAGAATAAAGGAAATGATGTGGACAGGATCCCCGTTAACATCTGCTCTCCGATACTATCAGCAAATTGACGGTCTGAAATCTTCGTCTCCTTTCCTTCACTTCGCTCACGAGTCTTCTCACCTAAGCCATGGTCTTTCCTGCCCCATAACACCATGATCCTTCTACCCCTTACGCTTCTGTCCTGAAAATGGTTCTAAATCATTTCTCAAAAGATGAGAGATTTTCAGCATAGTGTACCATGCCCTTCATGTCTTCCATCCCCAGTAAACCCCAGCCAGCCTCCAACGACCATGAACCCCAGTCGATTCTCAATCATACATGAGAAGAGTTAAGTACGGGCTACGCATTCTCTAACAGTTCTAATGTAAATGGGAAAGGGTCTGCCGCCAGGCTTCTCCCATGGTCTCCACTTCGCAAAATAGGCAGGGTCAAGGTTAGGGAGTTCCCAAGATTCTGCTCTTCAACCTCAAAGTGGGGGAGGCTCCAGGGAAGACAATATGGGGCAAGGAAGTGCACAACTTGGTAAACAGGGGCTTGGGACTCCAGTTGGGCCCCTCTGAGATGCAGCATGGACATTCCACCGTCTTCATTCATTCCACCCTCAGCCCGGCCCTAGGTGCAGGTCTGCGCTAGGACAGGGCAAACTTGGTGTCCCAATAACTGGGCAATTCATTCGAGGCTGACATCCCACTAACCACCTTACCAGGCTAGCATAGCTGTCACTTCGTTCCAAAATGTGCCCTTTTCCTGCTGGCAGTTGAAAGACCACTGACCAAAGAGCATGCTGGGTCCCCACCCATATTGCTTAAATGATCTGGAAACTCTAAGATCCATTACCCAGTGAATTCACCTAGCTTGTCCTTGCCAAGGGGACCCAGTATGCCTCGGTGCACACACGCCCTCATTCTTCAAAACTCACTCCAAACAGAGAGCATCCTCTGGCTTTTCCAGACTCCTCTCAGGGCCAGCCAGTTCTCCCTGCCATGTGCACCAGGGACTCACTGTAAGAACCTCAGTCACAGCTGTCAGGGTCCAGCCGCATCCCACAAGGGCATGAGAAAGGCTTTCTAGAGCTTATTTTATCTATTTTTGTAGCTGCTAAAACACAGTGCTAAAACGGTCAATGTAAGAAAAATGGTTTAGAATCTAGTTGGTGCTCACAATAAATATTTATTATACAAGTGGATACATCTAATGATTTTCCCACTGGACATTATTCTAAACCACAAAAGTAATTCTTAATAAGTCAATCAGGGTTTTTTGGTCATGGATGTCATGAGCTTATAGAAATGAACTAGTTAAAATAATATGTGTATAGATATTTCTGTAAGTATCTTTTCATGGTTATGAATGGTTCTCTATCTAACTGTACACAGGAATCAACCATTTGCCTAATAGTAATAGATACCTGCCGGGCACTCGTGCGGAATATACTGCCAGGAGCGAGCACGTTACTTTCTCTGCCTTACCACTCTCCGAGCGAGACACTTTCAGAATAACTGAAGTGATAACATGAAGTGTGTTAATGTCATTAAGTGTCACATTCTAATACTGATGAATTCCTGATGAGTCCTGACGATCAGATTTGAGGATCTGCACTAATTTCTCACTTATTACCATGAAATACGTGACTGCATTTATAAAAGACTAAGTCTTAAAAGGTTCCACTTCAATGACTATTATAAAAAATTGATTTGCCAAGGGTAAGAGCTTTTCTGTGTAATGAAATCTCCTAGGATTGGAGATGAAACATCCCAATGGTGTTTACCTTACATCAGGTCTGAAGGAGAAACCTGGGGGTGCCCCATCGACGCATGAGGCTATGTAAAGCTAGTAAGAGACCAGTCCAGGGGGCACAGGGTCAGGATAACTTTAAGCACAGGGGGAGAGAGGAAGGAGGGCATAGAATTCAGCTACACAATATGACCTTCGAGCTCTCAATTCCAAACCAAGCCCTAGACCTGGAAATCACAATGAACAACACTCTAAATAAATGGGACATGTCACTTCCTCCAAGTGAAATCATAAAGGATAATAATAAGCTGAAGACACCCAGACACTTAATCCTACTCTTATGAAATACTACCTATTATTTCTGTGCTGTTCAGGTTACTACACATCAAAAAGGAGCAGAAGTAAAATTAAGAAGCCTCCAAAAAAAAAAAAAAAAAGTCGTTAAGGGGGGAAAAAAAACCCACTTACAAAAATTTTAGCAGCAGTTTTAGATGAAATGAAAGCGAATTCTCATCTATATCAAATTAATAAACTTACAGAAATCATACCAAGAGATTCTACAGCCCAAAGTTATAGATTCAAGAACAGTTTAAAACAATTTGTGAATAACACAAGCAAAATAAGGGTCTGAAGGAAAGCTAGTGAATTGGGTGCTCTCACCTCCAAACTGCACCTTCTTCATAAAGCCTGCCTACTGCCCAGCCAGAGACAGAACACCAGATTAACCACACTACCAAACCACTACCCTTACAATTTCAATCATATGTCCCAAATGATTTGTTAGGGCTGAAAAATATTTCTGTTATACAGACTACAGGTTTCTGCCCAGGAACGGCTATTACAGGATCCCTGGATCTCAGAGCCCACATGCTGTACTACGGGTACAGTTTTAACACGTGCGAGCAGATTTCTCATATAAACAAGCAGAATTTTCCCCAGAATCCTTTATCCGTTTGCACATTTACACGTAGACTATTCTTCTAGGCATCACAGTTGGAATGAACCTTTACCAGACCAAAAGCATCCTGAAGGCAATTCTTATTTATCTCATAGTCCCAGAGCAGCACAAGGAAGGCCTCGACTTGTACAGACTCAAGACCACCTCGAGCTGGTGCCACAGGGCATTTTATAAGTGGGGGGACACCCACCATTCTGCTTCCTGGTTACCCAAGTAATGCCATCATGTGCTGATGCAGGAACAGTCAACTCATTTTTGAACCAGGGCCCTTGAAAACTTACAGTTTATGTAGCTCAATACATGAGGGCCACACTTCTTGTCATTTTACTAATGGAAAACCTACCATGCAAATCGAGCATTTGAGGCGAAAGCACCAACTTCTCCCAGCTGTTTTAAGCAGAAATCACAGGCTTACCTTTGGCACTCAGTTATAAGAGATGACTGGCAAAACGCAGAACTCCTCAAAAGGTGAATTTCTCAGCTGGTCACACCTCCTGAAGTTACAAAGCTGCAGGAATTCTCCAGATTCTTGAATCCAACCCAAATCTCAGCAGAGGATTATGATCTGGGGAATCACTTGTATAGAAGGAACATATGAATTCTGAAAGGAAACAGAAAAAAACACATTTATTGGGACCACGTGCTCGTTTGATTTTAAGTTAACTGCCTGAAAATTATTTGCCTGAAACCAGTAATTTTCTTTTTTAAATAGAATTTATTGTCAAGTTAGCTAACATACAGTGTATACGGTGTGCTCTTGGTTTCGGGAGTAGTTTCCCACAAATCATTGCTTACATACAACACCCAGTGCTCATCCCAACAAGTGCCCTCTGCAACGCCCATCACCCATTTTCCCCTCTCCCCCACACCCCCATCAACCCTCAGTTTGTTCTCTGTATTTAAGAGTCTCTTAAATACTGAGTAGTATTCTATGGTATATATAAACCACATCTTCTTTATCCATTCATCAGTTGATGGACACTTGGGCTCTTTCCATACCTTGGCTATTGTTGATAGCACTGCTATAAACATTGGGGTACAAGTGCCCCTATGCATCAGCACTCCCATATCCTTTGGATAAATTCCTAGTAGTGTCATCGCTCGGTCATAAGGTAATTCTATTTTTAATTTTTTGAGGAACCTCCACACTATTTACCAGAGTGGATGCACCAGTTTGCATTCCCACCAGCAGTGCATGAGAGTCCAATATTTTCAATACACCCCAGAAAAAAGTTGCTTTGTACCTACTGACCCCTGCCCAAACAAAAACGTCCTCCTCCTCCACCCAGGCACCTAAGTTCCCAAGATTCTTCAGCCCTCTTCCCCAAGACGGCTCCTCCCCACAGCCTTCCAAGCCTGCTGGAGACAAAAGAAAGGTTGCCCGGTGGAAAGGAAGCAAGTCTGAGAGCCTAATGAAGGGAGAAGGGTTGCAGAGAGCAGGGATGTTTAAATTTAGGGACTCACTCCTCTGTCTCGGAGGTCTCTTGCACTGGCCATTTACTGGGAGAGATCCCCTACTGGACCCCACAGCCTTGTGCTACAAAACATCCCTGCAGGAAATCTGAGAATAACGTCCAGAAACCACAAGGAAGTGGGGACAGGAGCAGCCTGACGGAGATGACCTGTGGCCTCTCCCCCTTGCTCTGGGGGAGTCTGCTGCTGCCTTACATTCTCCGCACTTGGGGGGCTCTTTTCAGTCCTTGCCCAGCATTGCTGAGGGGACCCTGAAGCTCTGTGGACCTCCAAGAGAGTTCACTGACAGTTTTAATTACATTTCAGACCCAGAGGGGATCGGTCCTGACAGTTCACTCAGAGAAGATCTATTTATTCATCCCTAGCATGATTATGACCCAAAACATTAAATACCCCATGGAAAAAATCAAATTCTATTTTAGTCCAATAGAAAAAGATAATTCAATAGGGCTTTCATAAAAACGTTATATGGCACATTCATAAATTTTGATTAAAAAATTAATTCCTCTTTATGCACTCTCTAGCATTATTTTAAAGGCTGCAGACCTTAAAAAATATATATGTATATATATGATTTAATGCAAGGAAAAGGTGATGCCGCAGCACAAAAGAAATACTAGGTTTGGGCAAGACGTGTACCAGGACAATTACACCCTTCTCTCTGCTACATGTTTACAATCAAATGACAGGATCTCCAGAAATAGAAGTTTTAGTATCCGGACTCAGGTCCTGAGCAAGTATTCTTTTTTTTTTTTTTTTTTTTTAACCTTTATTTATTTTTGAGAGAGACAGAGTGAGAGCGGGGGAGGAACAGAGAGAGGGAGACCCGGAATCTGAAGCAGGCTCCAGGCTCTGAGCTGTCAGTACAGAGCCCGATGTGGGGCTCGAATCCAACGAATGGCTATCTGGATTCAAGTGTGAAAAAAGGAAGGCTTCAGTGTTTTCCCAGAGAAAAGCATTTCACAGACAAACGGTCAATGCACAAAGCATACGCCTTCAATGGAAATAAACAGAGGGATCAAGACCTGTCTCATCCTGGGTTTAAATGTACCCTGCCCACGTCCTATGTTTATTTAATGTGGGGTCATTGGCGTATTCAAAACCTCTGGTAAGGACAAACATTTCCAATCAGATCTTAAGTACAAAGATTTAAATCCATCAGGAAAGCATACACTCTTGTGCAAAAACCAGCTCAGACTGCAAACGTTACCCAGCACAAGGTCAGCTGGACTGCAGAAGGTTCTCGCCCAAGAATTCACTCAAGGACAGTCTACAGAGTGTGTTGCACACAGACGGGAATATACGAAACGCGTCTAGGTTTTCCTTTGAAAATATTTCCCCACTAGCACCATGTGCATCTCCCTTTAGAAACAGATGACGAAGAGGTAGAACCAGAAAGCAATGAACCCTGACCAAACATATCTCCCCTCCACATTACTTTGGACTCCTAATAATGCAACATTTTATCACCACGAAATCCACAGGGCTTTCTGAAGTGTCTGTAACACTGACATTTTCTTTTTCTCAAATATTATTTGAAAAACCTGAGCCACAACTTGGGGCTTCTCCCTGGTCTTCTGGGGGCATCTGGCTACAGCACCTGTTTCAACTGGGAGGGCGTGCTCTGGGCTTGCGTGCCTCGGTACCTCGATCTGCAATTCTGGGAGCACTATGGGTCCTGGGGCCAGGGCCTGGCACAGAGATGCCACCCCCCTGCCCCGCCACCAGTGCCGACCTTAGTCTCATTTAGACTTCCAGTGCCTGCTACAGCACCAGACACCGGAGGTCCCGGGCGGTATCCTTCATACCTTAGCCCCGCATGGAGGTCCAGTGGTGACGTCCATCACTAATGCGCTTTACTCCAGGGGAGTCATGAAGGATTAGCAAGGGGGTATGCCCCCCGTTCTGCTGATGGCCCAAAGCTGTGTGTGGGGATGCTCAGCTCTACCTATTTTACAGCTGGCCACTGTTCCCGGACCACCCAAATCTCCCGAAGGCTCATAGTGAGTGCTCAGGGGATACCACCTCTCCTTCTCCCTGATTGACAGAAACGGAGTAACAGGCAGAGAGGAGAAGAGCTTGTCCTGGTCCCAGTGAGACACTGCACTGGTGTTCCCCCTTCACAGCAACCCGATGAGAGAAATCTTATCATTCAGCTCAGGGACTAAGCCACGAGATGGCCCACAGCCAGAATCTAAACCTACGCTGGCCTGGTTTCAAATTTTTTTATTAACATTTACTTATTTTTAAGAGAGACAGAGCATGAGCGGCAGAGGGGCAGAGAGAGAGGGAGACACAGAATCCGAAGCAGGCTCCAGGCTCTGAGCTGTCTGCACAGAGCCCAACATGGGGCTTGAACCCTCGAACGGTGAGATCGTGACCTGAGCCAAAGTCAGACGCTCAACTGACTGAGCCAGCCAGGCGTCCTGGCCTGATTTCAGAGCCCTTCCAATGCTCTTTCTCCTCAGAAAAGATCACCACTAACAGGTAGAGCCTGGAGACTCAAGCAGAGACTGACTGCCGCCGCCATCAGTCTGGAGTATCTGCTACACTGGGAGGCCAGCTCCAATCAGGTGGGGACGGCATAATGCTGCGTCAAAGAAGCAAGCCCACGAAGGCACACAGCACCTTATGTTCAAAGGAACCGTTTCTCTTAGATGTTAATGCAGCAAAAAGAATTACTGAAAAACATCATCTGACTGGGTTGAGTAGTGCACACAACCAAAAGAGTCGCAGGTTACATCAGGTGGGCATCACAACCCAATCTTACACATACCAAATGCACCACGAGAAACCTCCAGACCCCTAAGTTTAGGCCCTCTGGGCTCCCAAATGTCACAGCCTCATCTCACCCTTTCTTACCCCTCTTTGCCCTCTCCACGTGAGACCCCTCTTCAGAGCACATAGGCCCTACAGTGGCCCAAGCTGACATCCAGCTCAGAAGGAATATGCAGGGTCCCTGCCTGACCAGAAGGACATAGGGCCAGGCTATCTTGGCGACTTCTGGCAGAACTATGTTTCATTCCTACCAAACTACTTGGTGGAAAACTATTCCGGTGGGAAAGTGCTAGTTTCAGACACTGAACAAAGCTATACAAAAGTCTCCTTGAGTGGCCTGGCTAAAATTCAACCCTAGTTTCTTCCCCCATGTGGACTCACACCATGCACAGTGGTCCCCAGTCAGGGCCCAGAGAGTAATGGAAGGCCATATGCAAGGGTCCAAATTTCAAAAGGTCCCATGAAATTAGGATTCTTACTCAAGATAAAGCAGTCCTGAGCAGGACAAATTCCAAGTTTTTTTCTTTTTAATTTTTATGTGTGTGTGTGTGTTTATTTTTGAGAGAGCGCGTGAATGGGGGAGGGGCAAAGAGAGAGACGGAGACACAGAATCCAAAGCAGGCTCTAGGCTCTGAGCCATCAGCACAGAGCGTGACACGGGGCTCAAACCCACGAACCATGAGATCACGACCCAAGCCGAAGTTGGATGCTTAACCTACTGAGCCACCCAGGCGCCCTGACAAACTCCAAGATTTTCTGCATTGGGCTGGATTTCTATCTGTTCTAAATGACAATGCTGGTTATCAGTTGATTATATCTGTTGATTAGAAGTTCATTAATGAAAATGGAAAAAAAAAAAAAAAGAAGTACTGATTTCTAACTCTCTGAACAGCCACAAAGTGCCATCACATATGGCTAAGGCAGGTGTTTGGAGAGGAGGGAAAATGGGTCAGATTTTAAGCTCTGAGGTTTCTACGTTCTAAAATAATGGAAATTTCTGCCTTGTAGGACTTAAACTGCGGGCAATGGGGTCAACCACATATAAGGATCACAAAAAGTGGCATGAGGCCACACATCAGAATGGGGTCCCAGGCCTGGTTCAGTGACCCAATGCCCTGTATGACTCTGTGCCTCTGTTTCCTCCTTCAGGACAAGGGTCCTTCAGCTCCAATTCTGCGGCTTTGACGTACAAGTGAATTTAAGAATTATCAAACTTGACAATGCGGTACCAAAAAAATTATTGAGGCTTATATAAAATACCATGACAAAAAAGTCATAATGCAAATCTTAATATGAATTTAAGTTTTACAGTCCACTGCCTAAAAATTCTAACAGACAGGAATTTGATTA